TCCAAGTAGCCGGAATTACAGGCATGCGCTACCATGTCCGGCTGATTTTTTGATTTATTGTAGAGATGAGGTCTCGCTGCCTAGGCGGGTCTCAAACCCGCGGGCTCAGGCAATCCATTCACCTCAGCCTCCCAAAGGCGCGGGATTACAGGCTGCGCCACCGAGCCCGGCACTAATAGCATATGTAAACACACAAATATAACTTCAGACATTCACTCATAATCTTAAATATTGATTTGATGCCAGATAACATAATGGTTTCCAATCCCAATAAGAGAGTGAAATTCTTTGGATTTCAACTTAAGAGGGAAAGTTCTTAATATTTTAATTACATAGTCATTCTCAGAACAGATAGTTGAACTGCTCAATCATTGTTTACTGGCTTGAATTTCTCATCTTACAATGAAATTTCTATTAATTCTTCTGAATAGGGAGAAACATGCACTGGCAATACAATTCAAAAAGCCATCTCTAATTTTTCTAAATTCTGGCAAAGAGTCAAGAAATGAAGTCACCTTCTCTTTCAAATCACTCTGTCACTGAAAGAATTTGGCTCTTGAAAAATATTTGGAAAACCCATTATGGATAGCCAACACGTTTTGTTTTGTTTTGTTTTGTTTTGAATCAAAAAGGAATATAAAATAGAGTACTGTTGAGTGTTAATCTTGCCCCTAAATCCTTCCCACTAGGCACTATAGATTGTGTAATTACATTGAAATAGAAAATTGAGTTCCTTTTTTCCGCCAGTAGCTAGGCCATGAGTTGTGCACACCAATGTGAGAAATCAGGACTGGAGTGGAGGGGAAGCTCTGGTTTGCTGGCCAATATCCAGCCTGTGTGTTTAGCCCACAGTTATTCTACCACACCTGAGCTCTGAGAACAAACAACTATTTGAGTCCTCTGGAGAAAACACTGAATTCTTTCCTGTGTAATTCACTGGGGAAATTAGTATGCTTTTAAAAAGTAGCTTGTTAATGCAGCTTGTTTACGAGAAGAGGACAAAAATGAGCAGTGAACTGCTTGGCAGTGTATGCCTCAGAATGGGATGAATGCATGACCCATTTTTTTCAGCTGTCTCTTTGGCAGTTCAAGGTTGAAGTAATTTCCTATCTGGAAAAAAAAAGTTACTTGTAGAGATGAACTCTCCTACACGTTTTCTGAATAATTTCTACTCTGGTGAGTGAAAGATGATACCTTAAAATGTTACTGAAAATACTTTCTAAACCAAATTAAAATGTGGTCAGCATGAGAATGAGAAAAGTGAATATAAAAACCTCTCCATTTAACTTTTGTAAACTGCCTTATTACATAGCAGACAATTGAACCCTCTAGTAAATTAATACCTTCTGCTTATGCCTTTTTGCATACCAGATAATTAAGACCCATAGTGAATGAATACCCTGTGTGTGTGTAGCTTGATGACAAAGAGGGATGCTGAATATGGGACTCCGTTTCTTGTGAAGAAGACTTCTGTGTTGTGGAGAACATTTTCAGACAGGTGCTGGCTCCAGGAAGTCTTTCCTCCCCTGATGGCCCCATGCAGAGAGAGCCAACACCAGCAGTGTGCGTTATAGCTACACATTCCTTTCCTAGAACTGCCATAACAAAGTACCGCAAACTGGATAGCTTAAAACAACAGAAATATATTGTCTCACAGTTCAGGAGACTGGACAGCCAAATCATGGTTTCAGCAGGGCCCTACTCCCTCTGAAACCCATAGGAAAGGATTCTTCCTTGTGTCTTCCTAGTTTCTGGTGATTGCCAGCAATCTTTGGCATCCCTTGGCTTATAGCTGTGTCACTCCCATCTCTGTCCCTGTCTTTACATGGCTGTCCTCCCTCTGTGTCCTCCTCTTCTTATGAGGACTCCAACCCTATTGGCTTAGGACCCAACCCTAGACCAACTCTTGATTACATTTTCAAAGACTTTATTACCAAATAAGGTCACATTCTTAGGTACTAGGAGTTAGGCCTTCGACATATCTGTTTGGAGGACACAATTCAACCCACAACTGGTTGGAAACCTCAGAGTCACCCTTGACTCCTGACTCCACCTCTCCCCTTGAACACTGAGCACTATTTTTTTTTATTATAAAGATGAGGGGTACAATTCAGGGTTAGGTATACAAATGTTGATTATGCAGGTGCCCTTGTTGATGAGGTATGCCCCTCCCTC